TTTTGTTTTTCATTTCGGCAGCCGCCACTGGTGAGCTGCCGCTTTTGATGAGTTACATGTGAGCTGCACGCCACCGGATTAACTCTGCCCTTCGACTTTACATCTGTGCTGCACAAGTCTGGCAAAGCTACTGCGCTGTTGGTAGATTACCCTTCAAACAGCCAAATGCCATCTAATGATTATCTGGCAATGTCTGAGGTGCAGCAGAGTTGCACTCCACCTCCATCTCAGACTAGTTCCTGTGGGATTTTCACTGAAATTTAATTGGTCCCTACCATTATTCATTTCCAATTTTCACTTTGTTTTCCTTTTCTACCCTTTTTTACTGTCAGAACTGCTGTAATTTTTCTCTGCGGTAGATTCAGCCAGATGTCACAAACATTTCTTAGAGGTTTTGCTTCTTGCTGTCAGGATAGCATCTTGCTTTTGCTGCAGATTTCTCTGCCTTGAATCTGTGTCAGTCTCCCGCTCCACCACAATCACAGAGATGCTTCACTGGATTAAAATCGGTGACTGTGGAGAATGTTGGAGTTTATTGGTGCATTACCCTGCGGAGGGTAGCAATCATAAGATGGGTGCTATGTTAACGAACAGCGAGAGATGGGCAGCAACAATACTCATGGGGACAGGGTAGGAAATAATGCTTACATAGTTACACTACCACATCCTACCTGAACCACTGATTGAAGGCAATTTCTACATTTTAATGGATATCAGATTTTTTTTAAAAAACAACACTTTAGATCTTAGAGAACGTAGTGGATGGAAATCCCAGTAGATCACCAGTTTGTGAAATACTGGGACCAACCCACCTGGCAGCTACAAGCATTCAGTTTTCAGTTTAAGTCCTGGTTGATATGATTGAAAAATGTGTCATAAAATTACCACTGATAATTGTTATATCAGTCGATATCAATAATTATTGATCAGTTTTTTAATATCTTAAATGCCACTGTTGCCATTCCTGTGTCGTCCACAGCTTGTGGTTTTTACTTTTAAACAGTTAAGAGGAACGTCAGCAAAACCTGAAACTGCTGCTTGAGCAAACTACTGGTTGCTTGTTGCTAGGTAACCAAAGAGTGAGTGAGCTAATTGTTGCTTAGTAACCAAAGAGTGAGTGAGCTAATTGTTGCTTAGTAACCAAAGAGTGAGTGAGCTAATTGTTGCTTAGTAACCAAAGAGTGAGTGAGTTGATGCCACCAACCTGGCTTAGCTGGCCTGGAAGAATCTGAGTGGCTAAAGTCTTTCCTCTGCCTACATCTCCCAGAATGCTTTGCAGTTTTGGATTGCAGTTCAGGGAAATGTTTGAACATTCTATCTAATGTATTTTCTGTTGATATTGATCACATTAAGATATATATTATTATCGATTCGTCGCCCAGTCCTAGTAATTCTTCTGGATTTCAGGTCGTTTTCACCCAGTCTAAACGTTTTTAACTCACTTCAAAGCTGTTTTGTGATTGACTAATTAGCTATTTGAGATAACAATTGCTGTACCTCATAGAGGTTTATGTGACATTTTAAAAAGCCAAGTCCAAGTTGATCGGTTTTAATTATTTAAACTTATCAAACTATACATTTGTGTTAATTGTGGGGACTAGTTAAAGAGAATCTTATAAAGAACTTCATATTTCTTTAAGACTCAGCTAAAAGATACGTGCCAACAAAAAAGCTTAAAAGTAAATGTGAGTTGTTGTACAGTGTGCAGTCTTGCACTATCCTTGGTCACATTGTTAGACAGACAGAAAGCTCATTGGACTGCTAAAAGCCTGCTATCTGAAGTGCTTTCTCAGCATAAGACTTGAAAAATGAATGAGAAATGAATAAAGTAAGGAAAGAACAAAGAGAAAGTTGTCTGCCATAAAGGTAACAGAATAAAGAAGGAAGATAAAACTGTATCCCACCTACCAACATTATAGAGTTTTGCAGCATAATTGTGCAGAACATGTCAGGTTATGCTTGGGTTGACTGAGATCAAAATGCACACATGCACACAGGCTGAACTGAAGTGAACCATTTTGGCATCAATAATCTCTTTGTCTTCCCACAACCCAACAGAAATAGTAACTAATCTGCAAACAAGTCACCTCAGACTCACTTGTTGCTATGAGACTGCAGGCAGAGTCACTTCACAGCAAAACTAACAGTCAACAAGCGGTGCTGTATTTGCACATGCAGTGTGTTGTTGTAGTCAATTAAAGCTCCAACCTTAATGAATCCAAACTGTGGTTGCTATGAAAACTGGGCTAAATGCTGCTCAAAACCCTAAAATTAGAAAAAGAGATACGCTATCGTCCCTTGTTACCTGTAAACACTTTTCCTTTGTCAGATAACAGAGTTATGAGGACAGATGACACAAGCTGAAATACATTTGGAGTGTTTTCTCAGACTGATAAATGAGATTTGAAGCTCTGCTGATTCCTATCAGGAAAAGTAGGTTCAGAGTCACACAATGACCCTCAATCTAATTAGTTTGGGTTTTATTTGTTTCGTCTTCTTCGAGGATGTCTCCTTCTCTTCCAAATACAGAGGAGCTTTATGCTCCTTGTTTTCCTGTGTTTGCTTTGCGAATATTTTTATTTTTCCGTGAAATTTTACAGTAAATCTACAGGTAGGCCTCTACCAATAGGTAACAATGGCTGTTCTCACCATGTAGCAGTTTATTCTGATATTTCTTAACAGATCCATGCAAATGTTTTTTTTTTATGAAGTCAAGTCAAGTTTGTTTGTATTACACATTTCAGTATAAGTAGGCTGTTCAAAGTGTTTTACACTATAAAATCATAAAACTGCAACCTTTGATACTAGCATAAACATGATACATTTCGTAAAATAAAACTTGAAATAATCAAGAAGAAATTATCATAAAATATACATCAAATCTATTGATCAATGTTCCAGTTATAATGAATAAAAGGCAACTTTGAAATAGGTTTCTATCCTTGATATAAAGGAATTCAGTGTTTTGACTGTTTTCAAATTTTCTGGAAGTTTGTTTCAGATGAGTTGAGTATAAAACCCAAATGCTGCTTCTCCATGTTTGGTTCTGGTTCTGTGGATACAGAGCCGACCAGAAGCAGAAGATCTGAGTGGTTGGGAAAGTTGATACAACAACAAATCTTTAATGTTTATGAAGAATAAAAAGATAAGAAACAGAATCCAAGAGCAACACTAAGTGTTTGATTATAGATGGTACATAGCCTGCAACCTGCATTTCTTATGTAAATAATTAGCTCCGTGCAATGAATTAAGGATCACACATTAGCATAAATAACATAAATAAATAATGCTAATGTTGTTATTTATGCTGGTGTTATTTATCATTAGCATAAATAACATTTTGAGTTTGGATTTGATTTGGTCTTGTCACTTGTTACAAGTTTTAATTAAAAGTCCATTTGAAAAATACCATATTATTTGTTCTAAGAAAACGTAATCAAATCAACTAATTCTTGACTGCAGTGTACAACGCTCTGCTTATAGTTTCTTGTCACCATGTATGATTATATATTTTATGGATTTTGAACTTTTGCTGTTTTGCAATTTGTACCTTAAATTCTCATATTAGAAATGGAATGAACTATACTTTATTCTTTGTTTCTATGACATTATGGGAAAAACGTATATAAATGGGGAATAACACACTTAACAGGTCTGACTATGGCACACGACTGTTTTCAAATTCTACCTAAATGGCATGCAGGTAAAATACTTTAAATGACCTCGACTGAAGGTGTGATTATTTATTGTTATTTAACCCTAACTGCTGCACTGAACAGCCTGTAATTTTCTAAACAACCAAAGACACATGTTGTGATCATTGGAAAGATGATGGTCTGTTTCAGACAGGTCAATTTATGGGCATGTATCAAGCAAAGAAAACATAAAAGGAATGACTCAATACATTAATAAAAACTGGAAGGATAATGAGAAAGTTTTATCTTTGCAGTAGAAATGTGAATGAAAGAAATAAAATAAAAAAAAAATACAAAAAGTGTTACAGTAAGGAACTGTGACTAAACAGCTGGGCAGCCTTAGGAAACAATTCTCTGAAAAAAAGGACTCATTCAGCTAGAGAACATACAGATTCAACAAGTCTTGATACTGCACACAGGAAGTGATGCTACCATCATGCCTTGTGCTTATAGAGCCTGTGGGTGCAATGCTATGATCTGGGGAGGCAGTTCATCCGGATAGGTTAAGCAACATTGTGTGCCCAAAGAATGAGGTCAGCTGACCACCTGAAGACACTGAATAACCAGGTTACTCAGTCAAGGAATTTCTTCTTCCCTGAAGAGGCATATTCTAAGAAAACAATGCCAGAATTCATCTGGCTCAAATTGTGCAAGTGTGCCTCGAGGAGCATAAGACACAATTTTCACACATGAATTGGCCACCAAAGAGTCCAGACCTTAACTCCACTGAGACTCTTTGAGGTATGCTGGAAAAGAATTTGTGCAGTAGTCTAAAAATCTAAAGTAGACTACATCTTCTTCAGGTCCTGCCTGTCCTGGTGTAACCCAGAAGTTGGTCTTAGGTCCTATTTCATCGTTAGCATTTGCGGTCAATATTCCGGAAGTACAGCATTTCATTTAATTATTATGCTGATGACAACAAAATGCATTTCGTCTTTAATTTGAATGTATCTGCCGTTCTGCAGCCTCGATTGAATTGCCTTCATAAAGTAAAAGACTAGTTGACACAAAACAACCTGACATTCGACACCCTAAAGAGCAATTAATGCAAATTTTAATGGAAATAAATGTTGTTACATTGCATTAGCTCGCAGAAACAATATTACACATATATCTGCATTTAAAATCATTAGCCGATTTTACCCACAGTTTTTAAGACTCACTGAAAGGTCCAATGCGCCACTTGCAGTTCCGGACCTTCAGGTTGCAGACTCCCAAGTGTAGATCCTCGGATGAAAACATTCCTTCCTAATGAAGTGAACGTATCTGACTGCAACAACTTCCTCTGTCTGTGTTTCTCTGTAGGATCTTGCTGACGGTTGTGGTGATCTTCCGTATCCTGATTGTGGCCATTGTTGGAGAGACGGTGTACGAGGATGAACAGACCATGTTCATATGTAACACGCTGCAGCCGGGCTGCAACCAAGCCTGCTATGATAAAGCCTTCCCAATCTCCCACATCCGCTACTGGGTCTTTCAGATCATACTGGTATGCACTCCCAGCTTGTGCTTCATCACCTACTCCGTCCACCAGTCAGCCAAGCAAAGAGACCGGCGTTACTCTTTCCTCTATCCCATAATGGAGAAGGACTACGGGGGACGGGACGGGGCGCGAAAGCTGCGCAACATCAATGGTATTCTTGTCCAGCATGGTGGAGATGGAGGGGGAGGGAAGGAGGAACCTGACTGCTTGGAGGTGAAAGAGATCCCCAACGCTCCTCGGGGTCTCACCCATGGCAAGAGCTCCAAAGTTCGGCGACAGGAAGGAATCTCTCGCTTTTACATCATTCAAGTCGTGTTTCGAAATGCACTGGAAATTGGCTTCCTAGCAGGCCAGTACTTCCTTTATGGCTTCAGTGTGCCTGGGATTTTCGAGTGCGACCGTTACCCCTGCCTCAAGGAGGTGGAGTGCTACGTGTCCCGGCCCACAGAAAAGACGGTGTTCCTGGTCTTCATGTTCGCTGTGAGCGGCATCTGCGTGGTGCTCAACTTAGCCGAGCTCAACCACCTGGGCTGGCGCAAGATTAAGGCTGCCATCAGGGGAGTCCAGGCCCGCAGGAAGTCTATCTGCGAGATCCGGAAGAAGGACATGGCGCATCTGTCCCAGCCGCCCAACCTGGGACGCACTCAGTCCAGCGAATCCGCCTATGTCTGACAAAAACATTGAAAATTAAAGGAAAATGAGAGGGGGTTGGGATGGCTTTTCAAGAGGAAAAATGAGTAACGCATTTAGTGTAAAGCAAGGCAATCAGTTTTCTGTTATGGTGGAAGAAAACAGAATGTAAAATGACCAAACGTCTGGCTCTGCAACTTTGAAAATCAAGAGAAGGAGGCAGAGGACTAAGAACATGAAAGTCTAAACCAGGACAAAAAGGTTTTTTTCCACAGAATGGACTTAATTAACACAACGGTCTCATGAGAAGATATTCCTACCATTTTATATGTCTGTCTTTTATAACTAATTACTTTCTGTCCTCTGTAATGAGAAAAATCCAACCCACATGGGGCCGGAGAGAGAAGAATGAGGGGGAAAAAAAGAGTTCGAAAGAAGATGGTGAAGATGTTCTCTTGGGAAATTGGAAAATGACTGAGCTGTGTGATGCATCTGATGGTGCGTTTCATCTGGACTTCATCAGCTTCCCTTGAAAGAATTGAGGGAAGGGGGGGCAGGATGGGGGACGAGGAGGAGGAACGACAACATCATTAAAAGAGGAACGGAAGAACTGTCAGGGTCTTGACAAACCCTAAAGCTGCTCAAGGGGAGGGGGGATCACCAAGCTGTGTGAGAAACATATAATACAAAAGTGAGGAGTGAAGAGAGGAAACATTTTTCCTTTCCGATCCTCTCTCCGTCAGAGCCAGACTGAAGCCAGGAGAAACGGAGCTGCCTCCGAACATTATGTCTCGCCTCTGCTGGAACATCGACACAGGCCAAACCGAGAGAGAAAGACTGACGATGTTTTTGCTTTGTCTCTTGGCAAAAGATGATTTCAACACAAACACAGTGACTAGCTACCATAAACACTCTTTTCTTCACCTCCCCTCCACCTCCCTTCCTCCCTCTCAGCTGGCAGCTGTGGAGACAGGGGGCAGGGAGGGACTCGAGTGACAGAAATAACCCCTGCTGCTCTCCTGCTGCATAAACTTTGAAGAGTGAACAAATGGACAGATGGATGGTTAGTTTAAGTCTCTCCTAAAGCACAAACCATACAATCTTCCCTCCAGCACTTTGGTGTGCTGGGAGAAAAAAAAGGAGAAGAAGAAGGAGAGCAGAAGGAGAACTAATTGGGGAAGAGAAATTCATCACCTTCTTATAACTTCAAACATTTTTTTTAAAACACAACACTTAAGATTACTTTTTTGCTTTCAAAAACAATGGTGCCATCCAGTTACTTCAGTATTCTCTAACAATTACATAGAGTACGACCTGGTCATATTATTTATTCATTCATCGTATATCCAAATAGATTTATTTATCTTTGGCCACGGTTTGGATGAGAAGTTTATTTCAAAACTACAAACTGTTTGTCTCTTAATTTTTTTTTCCATGTGAAGCGTTTCTCACTGGTCTGGTTGATTTATGAATCGTATGGGGGGGTGAGACAGGACAAGTTGGCAATTTTTGTTATTAAATGCTTTGAGGATGTGCAGCTGATTTTTACTTTTTTTTTTTTTTTTTTTTGCTACTCTTTAGACTTAATCTGAAGTAAGTGCAGACCTACAGCACTTGTATCTTTCCGACACAGAGCCTTGACTTTTGTTTTTCTTCCTTAAAATCAGCTGCCCACCTTCAGGGTACTTAAGGCCTGTGAGCCATTTGATAAAGGCATGTTTACATAAAGCAATGTTTCTTGAATGATCAAGCTGTGTAACAGTCATGTAGCTTCTCTCTAAGGGCCGTGATGTTTTTCAGTCTCAGTGGATTTAATTTAGTTTTTTTTGTTTGTTTGTTTGTTTTCCCTGACTGGATTTCAGCATGCTTGCAGAATTAAAGAAAATTAAGGGGATGATATGAAAGACAAGAAAAAAGATGACAGAGAGTGGTGCACCTTGTTTAATGCAGACAGGAGGAAGAGTGGCAGACTGTGGGAACCCCCTGTTGGGATGATGATTGTGTTTCTGGGCCCTCACAGATATGCACAAATGCATAATTTAGAGTGCAGAGCAAACATTGCGGGAGCTGAAGAAACCAGATATAGAGACAGTTCAGTGAACCTTACAGTTTATATTCTAAAGAAGTTTTCAGCCAGGACGGTGTGCTTCTGTCACTCGTCAGGGTCGAGCCTTCGCTGACTGAGACAATCAAATGCTCAAATCATCACCTTCTCCCCTCGGAGCTTTGGCATCCTATTTTAACACAGCGGATACCCTTTAGCCTCACATTTCCACATGTAATGTGACCTACATCCTTCAAACGGCGGTGCATCTAATGTCCAACAAACGCTTTAGAAATGTAAGATACTAGAAATGTACAATGATAATAAAATATTGGGTTTTAAAGTAGTTGAGGTTTATATTGACACATTTTAATGTTGCTTTCCCCTGCTTACTTGATACATTACATCCTGTTTTAAAATACACAATTTAAATATGTTCCACACATGTCAGAGACTTTTTTCAAGCAAGGACAGGATAACATAAATTTTTTATGATATAATATAAATTAATAATGAAGTCATTATGTTGAAATGAAAGTGAGTGATATCAGATGTTATCAACTAAATCTTAAAACAAAATGTTAAAATGAATACTTAAATAAGTAGTCATGTCCGATAATTTCGGAAGTGATTGCGACTTGAAACCACCATTTCATGATCTTGGTTTTGTTTTGTTTTTTGGTTTGTTTTTGCAGATTTTAAAATTTTAAAATTAAAACTGTACTAAGTAAAACAATTTCTTAAATGTTATAATATTTCTATGTTAAAAATATGTTTCATTTATATCAAAAGATGTAAAAATTGGCATGATCACATGAAAAAAATACTGCTGTGACATTTAGTTAATGTCTAATGATGCTAACTGCTCATAAAAGTTCCTAAAATGATTTTTAAAAAGTTAAATGTTCTTAATTTCTTTTCACTAAAATTTTCACTAAAATACTAAACTCTTGTATTAATTGTATTATTTAGACACAGACTGTTTTGTAAATATTTTTTTAAAGTAACTTTGTCCCTCAAAAAGCCGCAGAGTCAACAGGAACAGCTAATTCAGTTCTAAAGTATATTGAGTGCTGATATGTGCTCCTATCCTTTCAGTCCAAATTGCAGAATTAGCTGCACCATAAGTGTATTAATATGGGCAGGAAATGAGAAATCTGATAATTATTAATGTAAACAGAAATATATCTGATGTTATGAAGATAAAATGCTGCAGAGTAGTGCCTGTGGGATTTATGTACAAACAGGAAAAAAGCACCATAAAGCCTGAATTGTAGCATTTCTAAATCACAGTGTTTTTTTTTTTTGTTTTTGTTTTTTGCTAAAACTCAAAGAGGGACCACTGCTTTACATTTATCAAGCAACAAAGCACACTTTATATAAAGCACACATTTAAGTAAACAATTAAAATTTGAAGTATATATTTTATGCTAAAGCTAAAAACTGTGCAGATGCACACAGGTCCTTATCAGGATCCACTCTTTCATGCTGCTAACAAATTAGCTCTACATGTATCCAAAAGACAACAGTTGGTTTCTGCTAATATTCAGCTGCAGATATCCCCCACTGACTCTATTCTCCATTCCTCACCACTGTCATAATCTCCTGGATTCTTACAGGTGATTATCTCCAGATTTTGTTTCCTCCGAGGATGTTTATGGGGCTCAGTGCCATCGGTACAATCCTCTCTGTGTACGATAGGAAAGGACGATTTCTCTGATATGACATGCTGGAATGTCTAATAATAGATGTTGGGTTACCTATTACTTACAGTGCTTCTAACGAAAGCCTAAGTCGTGACCTCAAGCTTAAAAGCCTAGCCAATGTCCTGTGCTATATGCAGAGTCTCTTCATAGTACAACCCTGATCTAATCTCCACAGACTCTGGGTCAGAGCTAGTCTGAGTACTATTTTTTACTGAATGGCACACATGCACATGTTCAACATGCATTTCTCCTGGGAGAAATGCATGTATATATGAATGTGAGAGCTGGCAGACAGAGTTCACTTGTGCTCTTTGGGCTCTGTGGTTATGTCTGGTTTCATTCAGGTCCGAAACACAAACATATCCTTAGAGTGAGGAGACAGAGGGCCATAAATGTGTCCTGCTTTTCTTCGGTTTACGTTTATCCAGCGTTCATTACTGACTCGAGCCTCCTGTGGTTACACAGCCGTGGAGTTTGTCACTCTCACTGTAAAAGCAGTTCCCTGTCAACAGTCTACTACTCTCCAACACTCTGCTTTTCTATTTGTCAATGTGAATTCAATTATGCAACCTTTTTATTCTTATTTGCTTCTCTTTTTTGATTTGTGGGTTCATTTTGTTGTCTGTAGCTCTTTTTGTGCGGTGGCATATATAAAACAAAAAAAGATATTTTTTATCTATGTAAATGAACAATTTTTTTTTAATTGTGTAAAATCAAGGGTAGAGAGTTAAAATATAATAGCAGAAAAAGATGTTCTATTTCCTCCCTTGCCAAAATGATATGCAAAGTTTAGTTCATTTACAAAGATCTGTTTTTGACTGCATGTGTGAAGGCTATTGTAAGCATGTTTCTATGTTTTCTTCTACAGAACCTTTAAGGAAAAAACTTTTATAGTCCAAGTTATGGAGCGAGGCTGTTATGTCTTGATGCCAAGTGCATATTTTAAGGCTACAGGTCATTTGATCCCTTCTCTATTTTGTTCATTTCATACCCAACTTTTCCAGGTTCAAAGTGTTGCTGTCTAATTTTTAAGATTAAACTCATAGTCTTCTGAGTAAGAGATTATATGAATCCAGTCACTATCATTTACTCAGGTCACTCAGAAAATATTTTGGTTTGATTTGGGACCAGTGATCAGAACAAATGCAAATACAAAGTTTTCTGAAAATAATATGCAAATTAGTTCAATTATATATGAGATTGAAGGATTTTATGACTGGTTCTAAATTCTTTAATTACTTCAGTATAAATAAATATAAACATCTGTTGTGGGTATGAAATGGCAACATGTGGGTGCAAACAGGTGAGGGGATGAACTGACTCTGAGCTGTACTTTAAACATCTGATTGTTCAGAGTCAGGCAGATTATACCAAAACAGTGATGTTAAAGCTACCTTTCTCACAAAACATAGATAACTTATTCATACAGTTAATGTTCTACTTTGTGGAATTTGCACATAAATATATATATATATATATATATAATATATATATAGTTATATATATATAACTTTAAAAGAGTAGTAGAAGATGTTGTATATTTATAAGCCAGTCGCTGAAATTATTTACTGTAAAAACACAGGGTGCATACCAATATATATAGTCAGTATAAAAGTAAACGACTGGCACTGGTAGATGTCAGACACGAGAACATTCCAAGGTTTCGCTTTGAGCACAATCGGCATTTTTACCTACAGTTTGTAGAGTTTCAGTTAAATAATAAATACTCAGTGAAGTATCCTACGGACAAATTGTTAGAGTACTGTTCACATACAGCAGACTCAGGAACAAAAACAGTATTAATCTGTCAAAATGCTGTTTCCACTTCTCACGATGTCTTGCACTAAGCCCACACATGTAAACAGTCCTCTAGCCTGAGTTTTTGCTCACTGGTGCTTTTTTTGACCTTGGACCCACTGAGACACATTTCCTTCAGTCCAGCTAAGTACTGCCCAAATATACAGGCCATGTAGCAATGGAAGCCTCCTTAAAAAAACACAAAGCAATCAGGCTTTTTCATTTTGACTGTTACTAACCAGTGGGCTTATTGCATTATAGCCTGCAGCAGGTAATGTAATTTTCATCCATCTCTTCGGTTAATTTATACTGCAGCACAGTAGCAAACCATTTGAATCCTCAGGAATGCGACATAATGAGCTGTCTCATTCATTAACACGGATTGTACTGCTCCCTCTATGTTACTCTTTAAACTGCTGCCAGTAGGACCTTAGATTAACTTAGTAATCACATTATGTAGCCAATCCCAAGGGCTCTCAGCAAGTTTAAAAAAAAAAACGCCCTTCATTAAACGTCAAAGGGCTTCTTATTCATTCCAAACTAAAAAGCCATATTAAAAAAATTTAAATCAAACTTGACTCGCCACGTTATTTTGAAAGAGCACAATATGAGTCAAGATTAATCACAATCATTTGTGGTCAGACATTGAAAGTTTCTTCGTATTTTAAACGGGAAATTAGATATCTTGTTTAATGTGAAAAACTTTATGTGCTTTTATTAATGGGAAAAAAAGTCATTTAAAAAACTTCTATATACAAACATTGAGCTTTATATTTCATCATACTGTCAAACAAAAAGCTCCCTTCCCTGCTCTACAGCCCTAACATGCAGCGCCTTGCACAACTACTCTTACCTCTCGAACTTTTCCACATTTTATCATGTTAAACTGCAAACATCAGTGCATTTCATTGGAATTTTATGTAATGGACCAACAAAAGTAGAGCATATTTGTCAAATGGAAGGAGTAGAGTATGGTTTTAACAGCTTTTTGCAAAGAAAAATCAGTTTCAATTTAAACATAATAATATGCTGTGATCTGAAGCGTCCCATTGCAGAGTTGAGGTCACTTTTCTTGCTAGAAACAGTCTAGTAACTCCTCATGTTTCCCCCCACCAACCACGCCATGATGCTGCTGCCACCATGTTTCAGTGTGGGGATGGTGTCTTCAGAGTATTGTTTGTTTTTTCTCCTCTGAAAAAAACCTTCTGTTTGCTGCTTTCTTCAAGTTTTCTTTCAACTGTGTTTTATCTCTACTTGACAAACGTGCAAAACCAATAATCATCCATCAACAGGATGCTTCCATCTGCATTGAAAAATTAGAATGGAGCTCCAACTTAAAATTTTTTGATAATTCGCCATAAGTAATTGGATGAAGTTTGTCAAATGTACGGTAATTGCATTAGTTCAACTTGAAAACTTAATAATAATGCAACATATTTAAGTTGAATCGCTTGTTCAGTTTCGTGAATCTTCTCTATGCCACAATTTTTACATTTTCAGTTGTGATTAAGAAGTTTTAAGAAACCGCCAATCATTCTCCTTCCACTTAACTTGTATGTGCTACTTTTTTAGCACACTCACGTCAAATGTTCAGCGTGTCAAATGGTCAAATAGGTTACTTGGATACGAATATATTTGCAAGGCGCTGCATACTGATGCTCACAGGCTCAATTGTAACCCTTTCAGGATTCAGGAACCCACCCTCTGAGCTAATCTGCCATGACATCAGTTGTGATTACTTTGTCTTTTTTTACAGTAACTGCAGAGGCTGTGAGAGCGCACTTCAAATCACTGCCCAGATCTCACCATGCAGCTTTTACCCTCTGTGAAATCAAATGGTTAGAGTTTTTGAGACATTGATCCTAAATATTCCTCAGGTCAAATCTCACCTTTTTTGACCATGGCATCACAAACCCCAGAACACGGTACCTTTGTGTCACACTGTGAATATCGACGGGATGAAGACCTGAATGGTTACATGTGAGGGAAGCCGGGGAGCAAAGTGAAATGTGGCCAATATTTGGCATCCTGACAGATGAATATTTAGGATATGTGAAAGAAGAGATAGATTTCAACCCTTGGAAATTACATTTATCTGCGACATCTGCTTGGATGTAAAACTTGGACTGAACACACAAACAATGTACTGCACTCTCAAACATGCTCACGCTTCGTGACCTTCATTAAAAAGAATTAACGTTCATGACTGCAGATTAGATAATGTAAGCAACAGACCTTTGTTAAAGGTCCACTGTATATTTCTTACTGGTGTACGTATGGAAAGTCTCAATAAAACCTTGAATGTTATTTCAAGCCAGAGGTGAACTTGTGTCTACTGATTTATGACCTTTTAAGAAACAACCATTTTTATCAGTATTTAATGTAAAAATGCTCCAAAATGATTGAAACAAATGCATGTTTTCTTACAGCAGCACAATTTAAATTTGTTTATGAAGTGGTAAAATATTGCCTGGGTCTTTCCGTGCGAGTCCCTGCATGGCATCAAGGATTTGTTGAAAACTGGAACTGTAAACTGAAAATTAGATAGACTTTTAGAGGGCATTCACAACATGAATGTTTATTCTACTTTAATCTAATTCTTTTATCTAGAAAGTCCGATTTGTTTGGGGAGTGCAAATGAAAATTTAAATTCTAATGCGGACTGAAAACGTGAACTCTGACCCGCCTATAAACCAATGTCTTGGTCAGGTTGAAGTGAACAATGAGGTGATGTGAAGGCAGTTTGAATGGGCATTCTGGTCAATATATTACTCTATGTTGATATAATGTATATTAGCAAAGCTGTAATTTAAGCTATATTAATAGAAATCGAGTAAGAAATAAGGGCACTACAATCATTTTTGTGACAGATTCCTGCTCATCCCGCATTGGAACAGTATGGTTTTGTGGACATGACTCAATAGCTCACAGTAATGGTGCCTGCAGGAGCATCACTAATGCTAGTGATGCTCCTGCTTTTAGGCAATGTCCAAACCTTGTGAAATGTTGAAGAAGAAGATTAGGTTCTCTCCCAGCAAAGCACTGATTCCAGCTGTAATTCTGTTGAAAACATTTACTGAAGACATGTACTCAAGTTAAAGATTGTATTTTTCTTAATTTTCAGTGTGAGATTATGCAGCTGCAATACAATTACATTTATTTAAGGAATTCAGTGAGCTAAGCTGGTACTGTATGTATTATTTTTATACCAGTGAATGTTTGAGAGTGGTAAAATAACGTTCATGGTAATTCCTGCACAATGCTAACGATTACGGAGAGAACGTGAGTGTGTGGGAGTGATGTGATTGAGAAAAGTATAAAAAAAAAAGAGAATAAAAAGATTCAGTGCTGTAAAAGGAAACAGAGTCAGGTGACATCAGCTGGTATTGATACAGGTCTAAATATAGCAGACAGAAAGCAGTACTTGCAGGGAGATGTGTGCAGCACAGCTGGTTGGCGTAATGACATTTCTGAACTCAGTAGGTGACTCTGAAACGTTTCAGCGGGATTAAAACCTTTCCACCGTGCCACTGATGGGAGGACAGGAACCATATCTGGGTGTGCAATCGCCTGCTTTTTATGACCTCCTGTTTTTAGGAACACACAGTTCACACACAGCTGCTACGATGTGAGTGCATCCACAAA